TTGCATTTAGAGTAATTTATAGTTATTGTATTTCATTAATATATTTTAAGACTTTTTATTTACTTTATGTTACATTTAAATAATGGTCAATTATAGCCATAAAGTATGAATGCTACGACTCTTGGAATGCGTTTAATAGTTTCATTTTGAGGCTATATAAAGCCCATGTATGTTGTATTTGTGAGTAGACTTGGAAAATATAGTAAAAGGAGCATTTGTGTTTTTTTAGCCAATAGCTAAGTTTCTTTGCAATTCTATGTAGTTTAAGTTGCATGTAGAATCATTCAAGCTCGACATGATTAATCTTTCTTGTGGAGTGATTTGAATCTCAAACAAGTGTTCTTGCGTTGAGATATTTGATCAACAAGAATTATGCAAGCTAGACATGATCGATCTTGCTTGTGGAGTGATTCGAATCTCAAACAATGTTATTGCCTTGAGATATTCGATCAACAAGGGAATCCGAATCTTACTCTCCTTGTAGTGATTTCGACTTATAAAAACAAACCAAATTTAAAACGTAACATACTTTATATTAAATAAAGTTATTCAAAGTATTTAAAACACAGCGCAAAAGTTAAATTACAAAATAAGGAACAACACAAGACATTTTAAAACAAAAGGGTTGAGGACGACCGATGAGGTTTGTCTATGACACCTACTCCAGAGTTCGCTCCTGATCTCGACCAGCTTCTTATTACCTGAAAAAAAAATGGAGAATAAGGAATGAGTACAAAGACTCAATAAACAGCTTACTTATAGGCTCTTAATCGTATCCTTGATATGCTAGGGTACCACACTCTTTCTTTTCTTGTTTTTGTTCTTGTCATAAGTACTTACGCCCTCTAGTTCTTATTCTTGACTTGTGGGTTCTTATCATGTCTATCCCGAGGACCTTGGTCTTTGGATTCTAAAACCTTGGTTATTCTCTAAGGCCTTAGTATTATAGTTCTTGGTTCTTGTCCTTAGAACTTGGATCTTGATCCATGTTCTAGTCCTAGATCTTTCTCTTGTTCTTGGTTCTTTTTAGGTTCTTGTTATGTTTCTTCATTCGTTCTCCAAGAAACTCCCCTTAGGATTAGGGTACTAACCATAAACCTGTCAACCTGTGTCCGAGGCTTCATGCACTCAAGCAACACAATCTTAATACCTACGCCTAAGGTTCATGTGTTCCAAGAAATGTAGTCTAAGTCATGAGCATGATGTACCGTGGGAGGTCTTAGGAGGTTCTTGATTCTTGGCTAAGGTAACTTACTCTCTTCTTGTTCCATTGTGGCCCTAGATTCCTCCCATGATAGACCATAGAGGTCACGTGATTGATGCATGCATGAACGTCGCATAGACTATAAAGGTCATGTGATTGGTGCATACATGAACATGGCATCCTGCAAATCATTAGGTACCCATTAACATGGTGTAGGGCATCTCATCTAGGCGAGGGAAACATGAGGCCAAACATGACATCCTGCAAAGGAAACATGGTGCAAGGCATCCCACCTAGAAGAGGAAATATGGCCTCTGGAAGCACTACGTTGTGGGAGGTCATTAGTCAAAGTTGGACATGCTTAGAGTATTACCTAGCATTCTTGAGCTTCTGAGCTTGAGGACGTCAATCCTTTATCCTTGAGTGGTATCTAGCATTCTTCTTACTTTGGTAGTTGTAGAGCTTGAATGATATTGTTCTTAGTTCTCAATCTTATAAGTTTCTAAGGTTCTTATTTTCTTGAAGCATAAGTTTTAATATGCATTCGAATCATATGAACTCATCATAATAACTAGCCTGGGTTACTCTAGAAAGTCATAGATTCATAATGGATTCCTTAGATGGTTCTAGAAGGGTCTTGAATCTTGAGGTGTTTTCTTTAGGCGTTTTCTTAAGTTTTATCTTGGTTTAGGTTCCAAACTTGCTTCGATCAACTTTAAATTTTGAACTTATCCTCATGTCATTTAGAATAGGCCTTATAGAAAATAGTTGGTAATTTGGAGCATGTTTAGACCTTGAGCTAGGATATGTCTTCTTGTTTCGTTTTCAGGAACTAAACCCTAAAGGTTGTCATGTCATGCATCATATTTTAGTCCTGAAAACTCTTCCAAATTAACCCTTAATTTTCTTCCCATGAGTGTATAGGTGGCGTCATCATAATTATGGCATCCTCTGCTGGCAAATCGTGATACAGGACATCTCATTGAGGTGAGGGATATAATAAGTCCATCATGGCATTGTGCTCATGATACTTTTAGTAGGGAATCCGACCTAAAGAGAAATAGGGGCCTCGTGGTGCCCTTCATGATGAGAGATTATAGTTATTTCAGGCATAGATCCTAGCAACTTGTTAAGCATGATATTTACATTAACCTAGGTGTTTCCTTGGATTCTTCATGATGGGAGATCATAGTTATCTCGAATTTTTTATTTCTTAAGAAGAAACTTCAAGAGGTTGAGCAAGAAAAATTAAAAACTAAGAGGTAAGATGTTTTTTAAATAAAAAATATATATTTTTAGGAGATGTAGACTTATTACATTGTAAGCTATTGTGAATTCGTATGAAAAATTCAATTAAATTGAGCCTTTATGAACCAGGAAAGAGGACCTTATGATACAAAATTAATTAATTAAACTTTCTAATTAATAAATTTCATTCATTAACTATAGGTCAATTCATTAGAGACTTAAAGTTGCATTCTTATGCATTGTAGAACATATCTATTCATATAATCATTACAAACAAGTAAATCTTTCTCATAATTATGGGTTAAAAGTCCGTTTTACCTTTTTAATTACATCTTTCACCTTATGTCTCACTAATTCTTTAATGAACCATTTGTTTATAATCCAATCCTGAATCAAGTTCCTCTCAGACCAATGAGAGGGTGAGGTTGCATTGTTCAAGTCCTAAAATCTGTACTTAGTATAACAACACATCTACTTTTCTTATATGGAAACAGTGAATTTCATCTCATGATATTATGTTCTCAACTCCCTATGTGGTCAAGTCCCCAAAGTAGTAAACATATTGTATCGGTTACAAGAGTCGTACTCACCCTTGCAAATTAAAGGACAAACCCTCACAGACACGAATTCATGACTTACATGTGATCATCATGTGAAATATTAATCTTCTCAATTAACGAATTGATAAAGAGAGATAAAATATTTCTTGATCCAGTCTTATACAAACTGATTGTATATGATACCCCACTCACATGTCTTTCACATGAATGATTTAAATTAATCATTTGTAACGATTACAAACTGGGTCGTATCAATAGTGTTACCCAGATAAGACACCCAACTTTATTCATTTACTATATACCCTTTAGGTTATTACTTGAACACAACTCTCTAGTATGTCAACCACATACTCTTCAAAATTACATTAATAACTTTAAACTTTCGTACCATGGATAATATTAAATTATAAACAAAATAATAAAAATTATTACTAAAATTAAATAATTAAGTACGATACTTTAAGATATAAATTCCAACATCTTGTGCAGAATTCCGAACATAAAGTGAACTCGAACAGTGGTTTTGGGCCGTTTTCGATTATTTCTCCCTCCTTTTATCTTCAAACCCTAAAATGAAAATAGTAAAAGGGGGAAATTAACATTTACCTTTGTTTTTTATTTGTTTATTTAAGTATGGTCTATTTCTAATAAATAAATAAGTCTAAATTAATAAAAAAAAAAATCTTAAACTTTGCTATCTTTAAAATTTTTAATAATACTTTTAAATTGAATAAAATATAAAAAAAAAATATCTTTAAATTTTTTTTAAAATTTGAAAGTTTAAACAAATTTGTTTTGTTTAAAAAATATTTTTAAACTTTGAAAAAAATCCAAAAACCGTTCTTTTTAACTTTTAAAATGGTTTTAAAAACTACCCTTTCATTTTTTAAAAATTCATTTAAATTTTTTAAACTTTTTTAATAAATTCATAAAAAAAAAACTTTTCTAATAAATTCAAAAACACTCCTAAACTTATTTTAAACTATTTTAAAATATTTCATAAACGGTTTGTATGACATTTAAAAAATATTCATAAACTTAAAAGTAATATTAATGCTCTTCAAATTTTAGAAAAGAGATTTAAAAAATTTAGATAAAAAGATTTAAAAAGTTTAGAGAATGATTATAAGAAAAGATTTAAAACTTTTTTTTCTTTTTATTTTATTTTTTATTTATATAAATATCAAGGGTTTGCTACTATTTTTATAGGGTATTTTTGAACTAACTATTAATGAAAATTTAATTCATCCTAGATCTTCTAGGATTGTGTAATTTTTTATCGGGTAAATTTGCATAATTTTGATTTCATATAATCTTCTATCTTTTAGGTTTATTTATGTTTTTGGTAGAATTGCATAGCTTTTTCACTCTACCTTCTTCGAATCAGAGATTTCTTCGACCCACTCCACCTATTTAGAAATAGAAGCATTTTTTTTCTTTCTCCGACACACTCCATTCGAAGACAAAAACATTTTTCCTCCTCTTCTACGAGGTATGATCTTATAGAGTTTGATCTACGCAATTTTTATTTTGTAATTCTTTTATTATTTAGTTTTTTTCTATCCTAGTAAATTTAATTTTATCCAATATTTTTCATCCGAGAACTATCTACTAGAAAAGTTATGAATGTTTGTTCTCTCGAACATGATTACATTCCTTTTTTTAATGTTTTTGTGGTTTTATATTCAAATTCTATATATGTATATATATATATATGTATATATATATACATACATACACGTACACAAGATGTTCAGAGGGTATGCAATGGAGATCATGGTGTTAAGACTAAAATGTTAGCATTCGGTTGGTTGTTAAACAACTTTAAGGTTGGAAAATGTAAATTGTGCCTACCAAACATATGAATGTTACTTGAATTGCATTATCATCTTTTCTTGAGAGTTGATTTAAATGAATTGTTCTTAGTCAATGTGGTTTGTTGGTGCAGGATAAAATCTTTATTTCGTTGTTATACTTGTATTTCAAAAATGACATGCGAAGAAGTTTTGAACCTTATTTTCCCTTTGCTAGAAGACGTGGACCTTGCTTCGTGCATGGCAGTGTGCAAACAGTGGAGAGACGTAGCTCGAAATGATTACTTATGGAAATGCTTGTGTGCTAAGAAGTGGCCTTCAATGTGCAAAAGGCCCAATATTTCTAGGACCTACTACAAACTATATAGAAATTTGTATGAACGCCCTAAAAGTCGATGTCTCCTCACTCCTCGACTTTCTTTTGATGATTTAGAGTTTTTTATTGATATTTGGAGCAAAAACACATTACTCTTTTCAAGAATGGTTTTGGGTGAAGTCCTCCAAGATGGTTTGAAGAATCCAACATCTCGTACAAATAATGTGCTTAGTTATCTACAAGAAGGCCCGGGGTTCAAAATGACTCTGGCAGTTGAGCCAGGATTCTCAATTTCTATATCTGATACCATGAGTGTATCCGTGCTCGTGAGATGCAAGAATTCCAACAAAGTTGCTCATATAGTCAATAAATCTATATTCGATTATTTCGATAAAATGTCATGCCGGGCATTTTGTTTTGACTATCTTGATTTCTCACATCTCTACCCTTTTGTCTCTGGCATTCGAGCATGGGTCTCATTGCTTTTCTTGGACAATGAAAATGACGGTGTCGTTGATGTTAACGGGATAGTAATGGATTTTTGTGATGTTGCAAAGACAAAAGATGAGGTATTATGTCTCTTGTACTTGCTCAATTGGAATTAAAGGATTCTATCCTTTTGGAAAAGAAAATTGGAGAAAGTCTCACATCTGAGCGGTAAATGTTATCAGATTTATTACCTGTCTTATTAACTTTTATTCACTTGCATTATTTTTTTGTTCCTTTTCTAAGTAAATATTATATAAAATTATTTCCATTAACTTCCATACTTTACATAATTTGTATGAGTCACATTTTGATTCGAACTCGAAATTTTTTTTATTTGTTTTTATTCAATTTTGAAGCGTAGTCTTTGCAAGACTCTAATATAACCGGTTGATCTAAGTCTGATATTCATCCACAATTACCTCTCTAACTATTCTAAGAAAACTTGTTTCAAGTCTACTACTATAAAATCAAAACCTATAAACGTACTATACCTCTGATCAAAAAAATTAAAGTATTAAAGTATTCTAAGGGCATAAGAGTAGACAATGCACCCTAGGATTGAGAGTGGCGATTAGAGGTATAGACATATGTGCACCCTTAGGATACTTTAATACTTTCTGCGACAAAAAAATCAAAACCTATAAACGTACTATACCTCCTATTTAATACTTTGTGCGACAAAAAAATTAAGAATACCCATTACCTGTAGATCATAAAAATAAGTTAATTCAACTAATACTCTTATGCCCCAATTAAGGATATTCTATAAAAAGCATCTATGTAATCACCATTATATGACCAATTATATATTATATTTATAAGTTTTTCAAAAAAAAAAAAAAAAAATTAGTAAAATTTTTAACAAATGAATTAGAAAATTCAAATTTTGTAAAGATGAATAAGCAGGCTTATAGAAGAAAGACACTATACTTAACAATAAAATACTCGACAAAGACCACATACGTCAAAGGTTTTTTATACGTATATTCCATAAAGAAAGTATATTTAATTCCTAATTAATTTTTCTAATTCACCGGCTATTATCTCTTTTCAAAAGGATCCGTTAATAAAAAATTTGAATATCCAAAACTGAAATAGAATTTTCCTTTTCTAGTCTTAATTATTCTTAATTTTTTTTTTTTTTTTTTAGCCAAATACTTAATAGTTAAGTTAAGTTAGAATTGTTAAAATAAGATGATCCACTCAAACTATTAATGAATGCACCTATTTACTTTAAGTCAAATTTTTTGACAATATAGAAACAACAAATTTTCTCTATTATTATTACTTAATATGCATTAAAAAAATTTTCCGCTATCACAATCTATTTCAACGAGGAAGTCACAAAGGGCATCGGGCAGGGTTGAAAGCTTTTTCGCTATCACAATTTATTTCAACGAGGAAGTCACAAAGTTTTGTTTTTGAGAAAAATCAACTAAATAATGAAAGATTGGAAGAATTAGAATCGGTTTGACTCAAAAAAGTACAGTAGAAGTTCGTTTATAATTTTGATTATTTAAATAATTTTTTTTATATTATAAAACTTTATTATTATATATTGTTATATAAATAATAAATAATTGAATAATGTAATGTAAATTTATTAAAAAAAATTATCACTAAAAAAAATATAGATTATTATCTTTCTAAAAAAAGTATATTAAATAGGAAGCAAGCTCAAAATTAAATGGTTTTTAAAAGTGTTTTGGAGAAATATTTTAGATAGATAAATAAAAAAATTTCAAATAGAATAGAAAGAATAGGAATAACTCAAAATTTTTGGATATGATATAAAGAAAAAGATTTTTTCCTTAATTAGAATAATTATATTTCAAAATACTTTAGATAATAGTCTAATATGATATAAACAAAAAAAAATATTTTCATAATTAAAATCAATTATAAAATATTCTAGTTAATTCTAGAGGAAAATAATATTTTCAAAATTAGAATAATAATATTTCAAAAATTTTAGATAAATAAATTAAATTTTTTTAAATATGATATAAAGAAAAAGAATATTTTCATAATTTTCATAATTATATTTCAAAGATTTTTTAAAACTTTAAATTAACTATTTTTAAAACAATAATAAATGAGAAAAAATGATTGAGCATCCCATCTCCTTTTAGAAGTAAATGAAAAATTGCAAAAGAATGGGGAATGAAATTGGTAGGGGATCTTCCGTGTCCTCGTCCCATTGACATCTACCACGGTTGAGATATAATATTTGGAATATATTATTTATGGAATATATCTTACTATTCTTTCTTTTATAATTTGATTTATAGTTTATTTAATTCTTAATGTTTTTTATTTATGATTTGATTTATAGTATATTTTATTTTATTCTTAATATTTAATTAGTTTATATTTTCATTATTGGTAGATATTAATTGTTAGCTTGTATCTTATTTAAAGGATATGAATATCAATGGGAATGCACATTCGATTCTAATTCTATTTCTATTTTTCATTCTTAACATGGTATCAGAGCACCGATCTTGGTATTCTTAAATATCAAAATTTTCTCTATGACAGAATCAACCAAATCCAACTTCAAAATTTCAGATGTCGATTTAACACATTCTTATTATATTCATCAAGTGTGAGTTGATCTTCACGATCAATTTTCACAAAAGAATGCTTCAGCAATTGTTCAGATACAAAAGTTGATAGCAATGATGTCATAGGGAATCATGGCACTGTCAACATATTTCACGAAACTCAAAGCACTCTGGGATGAATTGGAAGCATACCGCACACCATTTACCTGTAATCAACGCCAAATACATATTGATCAATGCGAAGAAGACAAGTTGATGCAACTACTCATGGGGCTCAATGAGTCTTATAAAACGGTGAGATCTAACATATTGATGATGACTCCATTACCTAATGTGAGGCAAGTCTATTCATTGCTTGTACAAGAAGAGATGTAACGCCAGGTAACTTCTGAACCTACTGAGAATATCTCGATTGTATCAACAGTGCAAAAGAAAACAACATATTCAAAATTCGCCAAGGATAAATCATGTGAACACTGCAATAAAAGTGGTCATACAATTGATGAGTGTCGAATCCTTAAATTTCACTGTAAATTTTTTATAGAAGGGGACATACAAAAGATCGATGTCAACAAAAAAATAATTCTAGAAGGGCAGTACAAATCAATCAACGCAACAATCGAGGATATCGATCCTCTGCAAATATGGCCGATGTTTCTCAGTTGAATATAAAATAACAGTCACTTAATTTCATCCCAAATTTTTCTTCTGAGCAATTACAATAGATTGTACAAGCCTTATTGGCACTCGATCATCGTCCTTTTGGTAATTCTGACAATAACATCAATGTTGTAGATTTGTTTCCAGTATTTGCATTATCTATTAACTCTACAAGTTCTAATCCATGGATTCTTGACAGTGGAGCTACGTATCATATAGTATCCAAAGCTTCTGTTATGACTGAACCAAAGGCTACCACCATATCTACGATAAATTTGCCTAATGTGTCACAGACTGGCAATGTTTCCCTTAATTCTGACCTTAAATTAAACAATGTTTTATGTGTGCCTTCATTTAATTTAAAACTAATGTCCATCAGCAAACTTACCAATGACTTGAAATGTTATGTCACCTTCTATCCTGATTCTTGTGTTATGCAGGACTTGGCTACGGGGAAGATGATTGACTCGGGTAAACAATTCGGAGGTCTCTATCATATTTCTTCATCTCCCATCAAATCTTCAGCAAATCAAGTATCTCAATCATCTGATTTGTGGCATTTACGCCTAGGTCATCCTTCTTATTCTCGTTTTAAATTTCTAGTTGATCAATTGCATCTTAATAATACTATTTTTTCTCATAATTGTAGTATTTGCCCATTAGCAAAACAAACTACGTTATCTTTCCCAGAAAGTTCAATAACATCCCATTCTCATTTGTTAGTGAACTTTGTTAAATTCGTTCAAACTCAATTTTATACTACTATCAAGATAGTTAGATCAAACAATGGGACTGAGTTCCTATCTTTGCAACCATTTTTTACTTCTTGCGACATTGAATTTCAGCGCACTTGTGTCTATACTCCACAACAAAATGAAGTCGTAGAACGTAAGCATGTCATATCCTAAATGGAGCTAGGTCTCTTCTCTTTCAGTCACAGGTTCCACTTAATTTTTGGGGAGAATGCGTTTAACTGCTGTTTATCTTATAAATAGAACATCTTCACCATTGTTATCTAACAAGACACTCTTTGAAGCACTCTATAAACGACCACCTACATTTCACCATCTTAAAGTTTTTTGTTGTAATTGTTATGCAATTGTAATACATCCTAAGCAAAAATTTGAACCTCGAGCAATTCCTTGTGTTTTCATAGGATATCCTTGTGGTCACAAAGGTTACAAGTTGTATGACATGCAATCTAAAAAATTCTTTATTAGTCGTGATGTTAAATTTTGTGAAGATGATTTTTCTTTTTCATCAGTTTCACAAACTTTGACATTAGCTCCTTCAACTCTCATTTTACCACTTCATGATCCATTCTACTCAAACATCCATTCTAGTCTCTGTTGGGATCTCACAACAACACACACAATCGATCTAGATGAACACAAAGAATAGGATAGAGAAAATGCAAGGAGAACTCTGGCTAAAGGATTTATATTAATGACTTCAAGTATGCACAGTAAGAGAGAATACAGAGAATGCAAAAGGTACATCTTTCAAAGTTCTGCCTAATAGAATATATATATGATTTAGTTTACTAAATATAACTTTACCAGATATAACCATCTACTATATATAACTATTTACCATATATAGCTTTAACAGATATAGTTTTTTACTATACATAGCTATTTACTATTTATGACAATTTACTTTATATGTCATTTACCAAATATAGTTTTACTATGTACAATAGTTGACTCAACTATAAATAAATGCAGGCTCCATACCTAACAGTTCTCCCCCTTCTATCCCTTCTATTTCTTCGTCGTCTCCTCCCCTTCTATTCCTTCTCCAAATACATCAGTTCCAGATTCACCCACTAAATCTAATCATATCCCACCTGATACATCAGTTCCACTCCGACGTTCTACTCGTACCAA